TCTGCTCTGGGGAGATCCAGCTCCCGCTCCTAGGAAAGCTGCTGGGGCGTCTCATCCTTTTCCGGTTCTCCGAGGAACAGACAAACTGTGCAGCTTTCCATGCTCTTTTTGCCCTGGCTGACTTCATCTGTAAGTAAAAAAGGCAGAGCAGTGCTGGGCTTCATCTGCTCTATCTCGTGAGAGGTCTGCTTCCTTACCTCCTTTGCCCCTCCCAGCTGCTTCCCAGATTTTCCCAGCTGCCCCTTTGCTGCAGAGGCTGAGTGCTCTGCTCAAGGCCAGGATCTGTTTGCTGCTGCTCTCCTTCCTCCCCTTCCTTTCAGGATCTTGCAGCCCACTGGTTTGTGGGCCCTACAGCCAAAGCTCCTCTTGACTTCCCTGTCCCAAAGCCACGTCTTCCCTGGTGGGGAAGAGCAGATCCCCCACCCTGGCTGGCCCCTCCAGCGCCTGTAGCAAGAAGCTGTTCCTGATGCCCTCCCGAAATCCTGGACTGCTCCTGTCCTGCCCCCTTGCCAGCAGATGCCAGGGTGGTTTGGTGAGCTTGCTGGCAAAGCTGCTCTGCCTTCCTGACTCTTGTGTGTTTGCCCTGGTGTTTAGTGGAATCCAGGCTAAAGGACAGAGCAGACCAAGTCCACCGGGAAGCCGTGACCACCTCCGCGCTGTGTTCTCTGAGCGCCAGGGACTGTGCCAAGGTAAGGAGCTGCGCCCTTGCTGGGACTCCTGTCCATGGCACCAGCAGGGCACTGGTGTGAGCCAAAGGACCCCACAGCAGTGTGGCTGGAGTGCCCTCAGCTCCCTGGGGAGAGGGTTCCCACCGTCCTTGAGCAGGGACAGCACCAGGGCTGCACTCCAGTGGCCCAGCAGCAGCTTCAGCCCCGGCAGGAACTCCAGTGCTCCTGGTCACCAGCAAGTCCCTGGTTCTCAGTGGGGCCAGCAGCCTGTGGCCATGAGCCATCCTCCCCCAGCAGGAGGGCCCTCTCTGCTCATTTTCTGCCATGCAGGGACTGCAGGCACTGCTGCCAGCTTTGCTGTGGGCACTGCTGTCAGCAGTGGTGGGCACGTCCGGCCAGGGCCCCTCGAGCTGCTCAGCCAAGCAGCACCGTCAGGGCACTCAGCGTGACATGTCTTCCTTCCTTGCTGCCATAGGCCTTTGGAAAATACCTGCATCCCCACGAGAGGACAGACATCATCCTCGCAGCCATTGAGGCATTGGGCGATGCCAGCATCCTCGACCAGCAGGTGCCCAGCAGCCTGCTGGATGTGGCCTTGGAGGACCCGGACGTCTGGCTGACGGACGTAAGTGGCCTGTGGCTGCATTGTTGTGCCCTTCAGCCCTCTTGGGCCTTGTTCCTCTCTGCATCCCTCCCTCCCGAGCACACGTGACTCGGGCCCCCCCAAGCCACCTCAAGGCAGCAGAGAGGAATGGGAAGGGCAACTGAGCACATGGCTGCACTCCGGGGGCAGTGCCATCCTCACCTGTATCCCCTGCAGGCGCCCAAGATAGTCAGCAGCATCCTTGAGAGCCTGCCATACTGCAGCACACAGGCAGCGTGGGAGAAAGCAGAGTCGCTCCTTCGCCTGATGACCAACCTGTACCCCACCACAGTGGTCATCCTCCTGTGTAAGGCGGCTCTTCAAGGAGACAGGTACTGGCCCTGATGGCCTTGAGGGTGGGCTTGTTCCCTGTGGGGAGAGGGACCCTGAGACTCTCTGGCTGCCAGAGCCAAGGAACGCTGCGGGACAGCCTGCAGAGTCAGGCCCTCCATCCCCCCACGCTTTCCAGCCCTGCTGGCTGGGCTGGCTTCACAGCAGCAAAAGCTGGCCCAGCCAGCCCAGAGCCAGCCCGGTGCTCCAGCCCCACGGGGAACACGCCCTCAGCCCCGTCCTGCCCGCGCGGGCAGGGCCCCCGGGGACGCGCAGCCAGGGCTCCAAGGGGCAGGTTCTGGGGGGCTGCTCCAGGCCACAGCACTGGGGCTGAGGCAGCCCTGCTGACAGCGCTCTGCCTTCCAGCACTGCGCCGGAGCTGTGGGAGCTGATGTCCTCCATGCCGGAGACGCTGGCCAAGATCTTGGAGGACTTTGCCAACCTGCTGCGCAGACAGTGCTTCCGCTGCTCCGCAGAAGGCCCCCGCACCCAGCCCATGGCTGTGAGTGACCACTAAAGGCCCTGGTCCCCTCCCACCAGCCCTGCAGGCTCTGCCAGCCCCTCACAGCTCTGTTTGCTCCTGCAGTCATCCTCCAGGAAGGCTGAGTGGGAGGAGTTGGCTGAGGAGCCCGACTCTGTCGAGAGCCATCAGGGCTGTCCAAACGTGAGGACGGCCAGGCTGCTGCTGGAAGGGCTCGTCGGGCTGTCGCAGAGAGCCGAGATGGTGAGCAGGGCGGGGTCAGGGGCAGCCCTGTCGGTAAACGGGGGCTGGGGCTGTGTGGAAAGCAGTGGCTTGGCCTGGCCTGGCACTCACAATGTGGGGTGACTGCTCCAAACGCCCTCCCTGCCACAGTGGGGCCTGGGGTGGCTGCCTGAGGAGCTTTTCAGGCACAGCCCTCTTCACCCAGTGGACATTCTCTTCTCTCTACAGGCCAGAAACATTGAACTCTTCCTGCCGGGCATGGTGAAGATCCTGCAAGCTGGCAGCGAAGATGCCAAGATGAAGATCCTGCTGGCCTTGCAAAACGTTCTGTGTCAGCTGAAGAAGAGCAAGGCCAGCTTCATCGCTGTGCAGCTTGTGGGGAGGCTCCTGCCCCTCTTTGACTCGGTAAGGCTGAGGTGGAGCCTGAACCCCTCAGATGGGCGCTGGGCAATGACAGCTGCCCTGCAGCCCAGCCCTGCGAGCAGCACTTGGAGCCAGCTCCACTCCCCTGGGCTCTCCTGGGATGGCTTCTGGGCCGTGCTGCCCAGTGCTCCTTCTTCTGGGATGTGAGGCCGGAGCCGCTGCCCTCCCCGCAGCCATGATGACGGCCCTCTTCACTGTGGGCAGGGAGCTGCTGTTTGCAAAGCTCCCTTTTCCTGCTTCCTGCCAGGAGTGCAGCGAGCTGCGAGAGCTGTCCATCCGCATGCTGACAGAGCTGCTGCAGTTGGTGGTGGGCAGGGATGAGAAGAGGATGAGGAAGGAGGTGTGGTGGGCACTGGTGCCTCTCCTCTTCCGCATGAGCGACCAGGTCCCCAGCGTGGCCAAGGTACAGCGCTGAAGGCTGAGCCCTGACACACAGAGGGCTGAGCTGACACCCCCCAGGGCTCCTGGGCATCGGGGCAAGGGCTGCTGGCAGCGGGCAGCGCTCCCCCAGCACAGCCCGGGGGAAGGTCCGTGCGGAGCCAGCGCCAGCAGGGCCGGAGAAGCTGGCACGGCCCTGTGCAACACCTGCCCTGCCTGCTCCTGCAGGGCTCGGCAGCAGCCCGTGACCACCATGGCCTGAGCAGGGGCATCCCCACAGGCTGTGTCAGAGGCCAGGCCTTTGAGCCTCCACGCCTGTCCCCCAGGGCTGTCCCCAGAAGGCTCCCAGACATTTGGGCTAGGGCATGTCCCAGCTTCCTAAAGGCAGGATCCCCCAGGAACAGAGCCAAGATGTCTCCTTGCCCAGGTCCCCGGGCCATCTCTCAGCTCCTGCTGTCCTGCAGGCCTCCAGGGAAGCCCTTCTTGCTGCCGCCGAGCTGCTGAAGTGGAGGACGCTCAAGCACCTGCTGCAGAGAGAGCGGCTGTGGGAGCTTGGAGCGTGCTTGGTAAGGACAAGCTGAGGGGCCCGGGCTGGGGGAGGGCTGCCCCCATGCCATGTCTGGGCTGGGGGCTCTGCAGCTGGGCAGAGCCTGGAGCTGCATCCCTCTTGCTGCCCTCAAGAACAGAGCCCCAGGGGCTTTTCTGCTGGCCCCTGTCCCTTCCCTGGAGCCAGCAGAAGGGGAGGCCTCTCTGTCCCAGAGTTGCTGGCAGGAGGCACTGCTCCAGCCAACTGCCCCAGTGACAGCCCTGCAGAGACATGCCTTGTTCTCTCTGCAGCTTCAGAACAGCAGGAACAGGGCTGAAGACTTCATCCACCAGAGCCTGCCCTACCTGCAGGACCCTCAGGCCAACGTGCGCCTGGCGGCCGTCAGGTTCATCGGTGAGTGCCAGCCCCTGCGGTGCCTCTGGGGGCAGCCTGGCCCCTGTGCCACTGCTACCCCAGAACGAGGGGCAGTCCTGGGGCTGCCCCAGCCCCAGTCACCCCAGGCAGGGCCTTGCCTCCCTCTGCCAGCCCTGCCCACGCAGCGGGGCTTGGTGGCCGCCTTGCTCAGTCCCACTGCCCTGAGCTTCTGGGGGCTCCTGGGCTCAGCCCTGCTGAGGGGGAGGAGGGTAGGACTGGGGACCCTGCTGCTGGGAGCAGGCTGGGGAGCAGGGGCTAATGGAGCTCTGTGCCCAGGACTCATCACACGGCGCCTGAGGGAGCAGACCACGGACAGTCAGGCTGACATCCTGAGCGGTGAGTGGGGAGCGTGGTCTGTCGGGAATCCAGAGGCTCTCTGCAGACGTGGGGTTTGATCTGGGCTATATTTCTTTTCCTCACAGCACTTCAGCCCTTGGAGAATGACTGGGACATCTCTGTCAGCTCCCTGGCAGTTCAGACAACCTCCATTCTGAGGAGTCCTTGCGTGCAGCAAAGACCAAGAGGCCTCCTGCAAGCACTGCGCTGCTGCTGGCCATGAGCCCGGCAGAGGTGCAGCTTGCATTGGCTAAAGGACTGGGGCTCAATAAAGCTGCAAGAACGTGCCCAAAGCCCTGGTGTCCTTCAGCTGCGCGGTGCTGAGTGTGCCGAGCCGACCGTGTCCTTCCTGGGCTGTCCCACAGGCAGCGGGATGTTCCCCCCTCAGTACCCCTACCCCCAGGCTTGTGGGACAAGCTGACCCTTGGTTTGGGCTTTCCCTGGTAGAAGCCGCCTTGGCTAAAGGACAAGCTGCTGCCCGAGCCTTCTCACTCCATTTCAGGGCCACTGCCAATGTCACCCTGCCCTCTGCCGCTGTGAAGCTATTCCCCCTTGTCCTGTCACTCCAGGCCCTCGTCCAAAATCCCTCTCCAGCTCTCTCAGAGCCTCTTTTAGGAACTGGAAGGGGCTGCAAGGTCACCCCAAACCCTTCTCTTCTCCAGCCTGGGCAGCCACAGTTCTCCCTGTGTCCCCACACAGTGCCCCACTCTGGGACCCCTGTGTCCTCCCAGGCCCAGCACCCCAGGAGGTGACACGGCAGCAAGCCCTGTGCTGCAGCCGTGTGTTGCTTTGGACCTGGCTTCCCGCAAAGTCCCTGAGACCCAGCGAAAAACTTACTTCCCAGAGAGAAAAAAAAAACAACTAGCAGAGCTAGAGCAAAAATATAGATGTACATATATCACAGTCATATCCAGTAAGAATACTCATCATGGCTGGGCTTCGTGAACAAAGATTTGGGAAGGGCTCTACCCATGTTTGTTGTAAGCTCATTGGTGGCTAAAAAGGTCAATATGAGATAGGCATGTCTGGTTGCAAAAGGCACAGCAGAAAGACTCCTTAGGTGGTATATTCTGCAAGGCACGGTTCTTTCTGCGTTGTCTTTTCTCCTCAAGGGTGATCCTGTGTGCGTTCTCAAAAGCATCAGCAGCGTTACAGATGCTGTGTCTCCAGGCCTCCCGATTGGAGGCAAGAGTAGACCAGTTATGATGACCAATATGGCCAAAGCTGAGATGTTGTTTCAGGGAATGCTTGTATCTTTTCTTCAGGGCTCCTCTCTTGCGGTAGCCGGTGGCAAGTTCACCATAAAGCAGGATCTTAGGGAGGCAGTGGTCCTTCATCCTGGAGACGTGCCCTGCCCATTGCAGCTGTGTTCTCAGCAACATGGCCTCAATAGTTGTGACTGCTGCTTGTTCTAGAACAGATGTATTGGTCACATAATCTGACCAGTGGATGTTTAGGATTGTGCAGAGACAGCGTTGATGGAAGCGTTCGAGGAGTCACAGGTGGTGGCGGTAGATGATTCATGATTCAGATCCGTATAAGAGAGTAGACAGCACTATGGCTCTGTAAACACTGATCTTGGTACTTTTCTTCAGGTGTTTATTTCGCCAAAGTCTTTTATGAAGCTTTCCAAATCTCTCTATGCCTTTGCTAACCTGTTGTCTATCTCTCCATCCATCTTACCGTCTGAGGAGATGAGGCTACCCAGGTAATTAAACTGCTGGGCTGATTTGAGCTCTGACTGGCCAATGGTGATATGGGGATGATGGAAGACTTCCTGAGGTGCTGGTTGATAGAGAACTTCTGTCTTCTTTAAGCTGACTTCCAGCCCAAAGAGCTCAGCAGCATCTGCAAAGCAGGATGTTAAATGCTGCAGAACTGCTTCTGTGTGGGAGATGAGGGCAGCATCATCAGCATAAAGCAGCTCCCGGACAAGATGGTTTAAGGTCTTAGTGTGGGCCTTCAGTCGCCTTAAGTTGAATAGGCTTCCATCAGTACAGTATTGAATGTAGATACCGTCCTGATCATTGAGGTCTGCTGTGGCCCTTTGGAGCATCCTGCTGAAAAAGATTGTGAATAGGGTTGATGTGAGAACGCAGCCTTGTTTCACACCACTGGTTATTAGAAAGGGCTCAGAAAGTGCATTGCCATATCTGACTTGGCCGTGTTGATCCTCATGGAGTGAGATGATCATTTTAAGGAACTTGGGGGGACAACCTAAACGTTCCAAAATCTGCCACAGACCTTTTCTGCTCACAGTATCGAAAGCCTTGGTGAGGTTGACAAAGGTTCCATAGAGACCTTTGTTCTGTTCCTGCACTTCTCCTGCAGTTGTCTGAGAACAAACACCATGTCTGTGGTACTCCTGTTGGCTCTGAAACCACACTGGCTTTCAAGTAGAATTCCTTCTGCTCTAGCGGGTATTAATCTGTTCAAGAGTATTCTTGCTAGGATTTTGCCAGCAATGGAGAGCAGAGTAATACCACGTAATTTGAGCAGTCTGATTCAGTACCTTTCTTCTTATACAAAGTGATCATGACTGCATCACGAAGGTCTGATGGTAGTTCGCCTAGTTCCCAAGAGCGCACCACAAACTCATGAAATTTAGCATGGAGTGCAAGGCCCCCATGTTTCCAGACTTCAGGTGGAATTCCATCAACCCCAACTTCTTGGCAGCAACTTCCTGATGAAATCCCTCAGTGACCAGCCCTTGAACACCACTAGAGAACATCTTTTTTATGTCTCTGTACAAAGGGACAAAATGTAATTTCAAGTTCTTTGTGGATGATGCCTGGTTTGAGGACACATATTGGGGTAGGAACTCCAATAAAATGAATTCACTCCTCTTTTATTCCCCACCAATACAAGGAGACAAAATACAAAGAAGGTATAAATGAAAACATAAGAGTTTGCTGATGAGAAATATAGCAGCAAAAACGGCAATACCAACAGAACAGTTCAAAGTAACAGCAGAGAGAGAAATTGCCTCCTCTCTCCCCCCCTGCCCCAACTCCCTTTTCTAAAGAGATACAAACAGGGATCAACACGTGCCTCCCTTCCCCCTTTTCCCTCTGAATGAACAAAGAAAAAAAAAAGAAAACCACGGTAAAAGGGATCAAAGCAAAATGTGGGAAACTCTCTGGTCTGAGATCAGTTGTGCTGCCCAAGAACACGCTGACTCCAGAGGTGTCCAAGCGGGGCAGAGCCGGCGACTCCAGTCCCTGCGGTGGCGGGGGGGAGGCAGCGGCTCTGCTTGATTCCATGGAGTTCTGTGGAGGCACAGTGAGTGCCATGAGACTCTTCAGTGTCACAGTGGTCCCTTGGTTCCATGGGGTTCTGAGATGTCTCAGAGTTCCTTTTGTTCCAAAGAGTCATGGAATGGGCCCTTGTCACAATGGCCCCTTGGTTCCATGAGATTCCACAGTGTCCCTGCATTCCTTTGGTTCCATGAGGCCCTGCAGTGTCACAGTGCCACTTGATTCCGTGACATTACAAAGAATCAGAATGGCCCCTTGATTTAAGACCAACTGCACATGGGGCTGCCTTGGGGGGAGTGTGGGCACCCAGACAAGGGAGTTGTCATCCCCCTGGACTCAGCCCTGGGGTCACCACATCTGGACTGGTCTGTCTGTCTGTGAGGTTCCCCATCCTGGAGGAATGAGGAAGAACTGGAGAGGGTCTAGAGGAGATGTGACAGGATGGAGCTTTTCTCTGTTTTGGAAATAGAATGAAATCTCCACAAAGAGTAGCATGGAAGGTTCAGACTGAAGGTGAGGAAAAAGTAATGTCACTCAACGGGGACCCTTGTGGTGCAAGAGGTCCCCCAGAGGGAGTCAGGATCAGCCCATGGCTTTGTGTTGCAGGGAACAGCCAGAGCTGGTGCAGAGACATCAGGGAGGGTCTAGAGATGCTGCTGGGAGGGGGGTGGGAAAGCAGGAGGGGTGTGTGCAGCCTGCAAGGCCAGAGCAGCAGCAGGGCCAGGGCAGGACAGCCTGCAGGAGAGATGGCCAAGGGCTCTGGCAGGGCTGCAAGGCCCAAGGGCACCCAGGCCTTTGTCCCCTTGCCTCTGGCAGCTGCCTCTGCCACTCAGGCCACCACAAGCAACTTGCCTGGCAGGTTCTGCACTTGGTTTCTGCCTTGCCCCTCCCTCAGGAGCCTGGCAGGGGTTTCCCTGTTTTAGGCCTTTGTTGTTCCTCCCCCTCCCATCCCACTGCCCCCAAACAGCCCTGAGCCAGCCGGGAGGGACAGGATCTGCTGGGCCAGGGCCTGGGGCTCAGGCCTTGGCCTTTGTGCTCCACAAAACCAAGGCAGGCTTTGCTCAGCATTGCAGGGGCCTGCCCAGAGCCTTTGTCTGCCTGCACTCCTGGCCTCCAAGGAGCTGCTCCAAGGAGTCCCTGGGGAGGCTTTGTCAGTGCCTGCCCTCAGTGGGGCCCAGCAATGCTTCAAGGCACTTGCAGTTTGGCTTCTGACTTCTTCAGCAGCTGCTTCAATCTTCTCTCAGTACCTCAGGATCATGGGCTGGGCTACAAACACACCATGGGGCTCATTAAATTCCAGAAATCCCTCAGGATGTCCTTGTTTTCCTTTAATTGTCTTCAAGGCAATTTTAAAACAAGTCTTCAAAATTTGTATTTTTTTTTAATTCAATGATGGCTATTTTTTAGTTCAGAGAAGAGGTGATAGAGGTGTTCTCCAAGTGATCTTGATGCTGAGTGTCTCCTCAGGAGATCCACACTGACCCTGGATGATCAACCTTGCTCCTCACCCCCCAGCGTCACCGGTTCTGACATGGCCCATCTTGGACTGACAGCTGATGCAACTCCAAACACACTGTGGGGCTCATTAAAACACTGAAAACCAAATTATTTATTTTTATTTAATTGTTTTCAAATCTTCAAGACTTCTACAGCTAATTGGAGTTGTTTTGTAGTTTAGCTAAGCAGGAAGACTTTAAAGTAGGTGTCACAAAAAATATATATTTTTTTATGAAAGGGAATGATTTACACAGAGCCTTGGGATGCAAGAGGGTCAGGGTGCAAAGGATTTGGATCCAAAGATAAGGGGGCAAAAGGCATTAGTAGCACTTAATCACTGAGCAATTGAACAATTATCAGGTGATTCAATAGCATGTGCTATAATTTTAATATTGACTGAATTATAGATTCACAATAACAATTCACACCACAGTCAATTCACACCCAGGCAGAGATGTGTGGACACAGCAATAGCTGGCTGCAGAAAGGTCCCTCTGAAAAGAATTCTCCT